TCAGTGTTTACAAAAAATAATAAACGAATTATCGTTTATTTTAAATAATCGATTATTTTTAATTACTATTTTTTTTTTCGTATTTCCATCGATGATCTTTGAAAAATCTAAAATAATCGATTAATTAAAAAGTCGAATAATCGATAAATCGATTTTTCAAAAAAAAAAAAAAAGAATTATTTCCTTTAAAATCAATTATTCGATCATTTTTGAAACATCGAAAATAATCGATTAACGGAAAATAACCAATTAATTAAGAAGATTCTACGATAAATCGATTTTCCAAAAAAAAAAACTGAATAATTAATGATTATTTACAAATAATCCTTTTCTTTTTTTATATTCCTTTTAAAACTGATTATTTAATTTTCTTTGAAAAATCGAAAATAATTGATTAATAAAAAGCTGATTTACCGATAAATCAATAATTCTAAAAAATAACCGAAATATCGATTATATAATATAACCGATTATATTCGATCAATCGATTATTTTTATATAATCTAGTTTTGTATTTTGAAACAAATTATTTGAATACCTTTGAAAAATCTAAAATAATCGATTAATCTAAAATAATCGATTAATCGAAAATAATCGATTAATCGAAAATAATCGATTAATCGAAAATAATCGATTAATTTAAAAAGTCTATTAAACAATAAATCGATTTTTCTAAAAAATCGAATATTTTGAATAAATCTACTCTCTTTTTGTAATTCCTTTATAATCGATTATTCCATTACCTAAAAAAACGAAAAAAAAAATTATTAAAAATGTTCGATTAATCAAAAATAATCTATTAAAGATAATCGATTAATTATAACGGATAAATCGATTTTCATGAAAACGATAAATCGATTATTTTTGTAACCCCTATCGGTCGCATGCTTTTATCAGAGCATTTAGCTCCAAAATTTAGAGATTCGGATTTATTGATCCTGTTATCTTTGAAACCGCATTCGATTGTATAATAAATATTGCTAGAATTTAGATTTTTTTAGTAAACGAAGATATTTTTCGAGTTGTTTAGGGGTTTATAATGTAACATTTTACTAATAATATGACTAATTTCCGTAACTTTAGTATTTTTTGCTTATACTAGATCATATTGCGCGTTTTACTTTGTTTTAAGATTCAAATGTCACTTCTGATTTAACCGCAAATAAAATAAACCTTGAAATTTTAAGCAGGTGAACCCGTATTTCATCTAATATTCTTGTAAAAATATCTAATAAAGGGCTAAAAACCACTTTTAGTAAATATTCTTATAAAACTACTTTTTAAAAACAAAATTTCGTTAGTAACAATGCCTATTTACTTCTTATTTAGATTAAATATTTATTGAAACCCCTTAATGCGGATCTGAAGTATTCAGCTCAAAGAATCATGGCGACTTTATGTCAAAACGTCAACAAATATTTCTTATTTTTCATAACATTGACACATATTATTTGTATACACAATTTTTCACCATACATCGTGGCATTTTCAACTTGAAATTGAATAACTTAAACACTTTAAATTGCTAATAACACCAACAAATAATTCAAAAACGGCGGTCCATAAATGATTTACTCACGCGGAGACAAGCAAAGAATAGAAATTTCGGAGCAATTCGGGTGGCGTCGTGAACACAATGATTTTTAACCCTTCGTTAGTGTTCCGGGGTATAACATACCCCAGTACCTCTATTTGCAGCTATACAATTAAAATTAGAAAAGCTAGAGACCTCTAGCGGCCGATAGCTTTAGTTCATATATAGTTTGGAAGAATACAACTGTGGTAGCCTCTCTATCGGCGTTTAGTTTGATTCTAGATCTCGGCGAAGACAGTCGGGGCGTCACATACCCCGGTACACTATTTACGTAACTTTGCGTGTACATCGTTTTGAATGGTAAGTAATGAGACTTTTTACCTTATTTCTGAATGATTAGTTGTTACTGTGCTACATTTTAGCAATATGTCATACGAAGAAGATCAGCGAAGGCTTAGGAGGTTATGGGAAGAGTTTGGTGGGTTGTCCGACGATGATGAACCTGTTGTAGGTAGTGAGTCCGAAGGAGAAGAATTAGAAGCGGAAATAAACATAGAAATCGAGGAAGAGGAGTCAGAAGAGGAAGTGGAAGTATTGCCTAAAAATATTGTAGAAGCGGAAGACTCTGAAAATGATGCACTTGCCAATAATAATAGGTATTTTTTGGATAAGTGTAAAACAAAATGGTCAAAATTTCCAAATACCCGAAACGTAAGAACGAGATCAGAAAATATAATAATTCATTTACCCGGTGTGAAAGGCATTGCACGAGAAAAGAAAACACCTCTTGATTGTTGGCTACTATTTTTCACAGAAGAACTGTTGGATGATATTGTTCGTTACACAAATGTAAAATTAGCAACTAAAACCCCTAGGTATGATAAAAGACATCAGTACCTAGTAAAACCTACTGATAAAGCAGAAATTAAAGCAGTCATTGGCCTACTTTATTTGACTGGATTATATAAGGCAAATCGTCAAAATACTGCGGATCTTTGGAACACTGACGGTAGTGGTATTGATTTATTTCGTACAACTATGTCACAGCAAAGATATTATATTTTACTACAGTCACTTCGATTTGACAACATCACCACCCGAGCACATCGTAAAGAGATTGACAAATTGGCAGCAATTCGGGGTGTATATGAACATTTAGTCGATAATTGTAAGAGACATTATACGCCTAGTGAAAACCTAACAATTGATGAGAAGTTGGAGCCATTCAGAGGACGGGTGTCGTTCCTTCAATATATCCCCAATAAACCCGCAAAATACGGGTTAAAGGTATTCGCTCTCGTTGACGCAAAGACATACTATTGCCTGAACATGGAACCATACGTTGGTAGACAGCCAGAAGGTCCTTTCCAAACAAGTAACAGCCCAAAAGACATAGTTGAACGTTTGATTGCGCCAGTATCTGGAAAAAGACGGAATATTACTTTCGATAACTGGTTTACCAGCTACCCTCTGATGATCAATCTACTAGAGACTCATCAGCTTACATCGGTTGGGACAGTCAGAAAAAATAAAAGGGAAATACCATTAGCTCTTCTAAACATACGAACCAGAGAACCTCGCAGTTCAATGTTTGCCTTCAAAGAGGATATTACGGCTGTGTCATATGTTCCAAAAAAATCTAAAAATGTCATTCTCTTTTCTACTTTACACCATGATAATACTATAGTTGAAGAATCTGGTGATAAAAAATTGCCTGAAATTATCGATTTTTATAATTCTACAAAGGGCGGAGTTGATACGTTGGATGAACTATCTGCCAATTACAGTGTAGCAAGAAACAGTCGCCGCTGGCCTCTTACTATGTTTTTCTCGTTCTTGAACACCGGCGGAGTAAATTCTCAGGTAATATATAAAGAGAACACGAAAAATTATAATCTGAAAAGACGTTTGTTTCTGAAAGAACTTGGTATGCAACTAATATCAGAGTTTAGAACTAAGCGAGTACAAAACCCCTATTTACGTCGAGGACTACGAGAGGTGGAGCCAGCGGAACATCATGAACCTGGTCCAAAACGACGGAGGACAAGTACTAGATGTTCCGTTTGTCCAAGAAACAAGGACAGAAAAACCTTTTATGGATGTATGCAGTGTGACACTCCACTGTGCTTAGAGCACGCGTTTTTCAGCTGCGAAAATTGTGCCACTTTCGAGAGACTATAACTTTTTTATTTAGAATAATAATGTTTTAATTTAAGTTGTATTTTGTTTTGCAGATATTTTTTTAAAACATATGTTTCAATTTGATATAGTAGTATGTAGGTTACCAATATCAGTTTCAAGAGTAGCTGTGCTTTTTCGTTGAACATTATAATTGATGTTTTGTTCAAAAATAATATTATTTTAAATAAAAGCTGCTGCTACCGATATTTTTTGTTTTATTTGGTTCAAGACCAAGTAAAAAGTCACATTTGATAATTAAATCAAGAAAATAAAAAAAAAAAACAATAATTTAAGTGATTTTGTTTGTGGGGTATCACATACCCCGGAACACTTATTATGTATTTTTTTTATGGTACACTAACGAAGGGTTAATTGGTGTTACTTAGGTTTGGAATAGACAACATGCGCAATGTGCAATGTTACATCTCCGGTCTCTTTTATCTAAGGTGTATTATTAGTGCCAATGGAATTAGTTTACACTATTTGCCATATACTATTTTATATATGTGTCGCTCATTAAATATTTTATCGCGTTTTACTGAATGTGTTATAATTGTTTAGCTATAAATATGATTTTAAAATGTATTCAATTTTGCAATAAAAGTCTTTAAACATTTAAAACTAGTTTTTCTTTTTTTTTCTGTAAATCTTTTTGCAAAACACATTACAATATTCAAGTAAACGGATACAAACCACTTTTATAATGAACGACACATATGTAAAGGCTGTTTTTGTTTAATATATCGCTTATTTTTTCAAGTATTTTTTCAAGAATAAATATACAATTATACGAAACAAATAAGTAAACCACTATTTACACAAACACATCTTCAACAACGTCCAGCAAATAAAATAATGTGTTGACCCATACCACATATTATCATGTACCTATTTATCCATTTTATCAGGAAGTTCAGAGGTAAGATAAGTTATCTTTCAGTTTAGACATATTTATCTGCCGGTTAGTTTTATCCAAAAGTGAAAAGTAGGCTTTTTAAGTTATCTGAGAGATAACAATTACCTAACACTTTATCTGAAGGTGAAAAGACCGACCCTAAGGGTAATAAAATAATGTTTGCCATGAAATGTCAACGTTTAAATAATTATTTAGAAGAAAGACAGCTGTCATTTTAATTTTATAAATTGTAAAAACTAATTAACAGTGGGTAGCAGTATCTTATAGCTATATAAAAAGTATAGCATTCAATTAGTAAGAAATGCTCATTTCCTATGACTCATGTTGTAAATAGCATATTCCTAAGAAGTAAGTTCTTACAATAAATACCTGTGTACTTCCCCCTTCAATTGTTGAGTATTATTCTGCAACGATGTAATTAGATGACGCATTTCTCTATTAATGGGACCAGTCTGTTCGTTGGCCGCTAAGTTCTGTTCAAATTCAATTCTCAACATTTCGTATTCCTTTCTTAATTGAGCTAAGAAATCCTCCAATTGCATCACTTCTTGGCGCAGTTTCTTTTGGGCAATCAGTTCTTCTCCCTTAAAAGAAAGTTTTTTTTTTTCTTTAATATATTTACACCATATAGCTATCCTAGATTCTAAATGGGCCAAGGTAATGATTTTATGCTAGTCACAAAATTTAACCCCTTATAAATGTAAATAAATATGATTTATTTTTTCCATAAGAGAATACAATTGTATGGGATTCGTCAAAATACAAGTAAATAAAATAAAAATATAAAATAGAATAAAATATGGGTAGGACTTATACATCAAATTCGTAAAATTCAGCTAGATCATAAAAACAATATTCTAGTAAAAAACCTTTCAATTTTCTTTTAAAAATATAAAATGAATTACTTTCCTTTATTACAAGAGGGAGTCTATTGAACAATTTGGGCTCCAAATAATTTGGCGCATTAGATGTTACCTTGAGTTGTGCATAAGGTATGTGTAGTTCGTCAGTCTGATTTCACACCTGTATACATTTCTATTAGTTACATTTCTTTGTGTGTGTAAGTGTTATAGGAACATTTGAAAAAAAAATATATAACAGAGGTAATATCGTCGCCTCATTATGAAAACCGCGTATCTCCACTTTTAGGTCAAATTGACCTTTTAACACCATCTAATAGAAAAATATTAAACATTACAAGTTTAAAATCCACGTAACTGCCAGAACAATATTTCCCGCCTAAAAATTTGGTCAAGCAAATCTATTTCCACGTGTCAAATTTAGGTAAAGAAATTCGCTTAACTCCTAAACTCAAACAAATAATGATTGAGAGTGAAAGCAGGTAGAAATACGACCAAATCGGAGGCGTGCTTATTATTTTTGAGAGGGTAAAATTATTTAAAATATTCATACAATTTCTTTTATTTATTTCATGAAAACTTTGCAATATCGTAATTTACCTAATCGTTGTAGTCATTAGTGGGGCTTTATGAAAACGGAGTAATAATTGTGGTAATTATAGTAGGAACCAAATAATTTAAGAATATTAATAAAAATCACAATATATATATTTCAAATTAAAAATAAGAAAGATACCTAATCAGGGGTTGGTTTGGTGACAGAAACAATATTATCAATTTTACTATTTTAATAATGAATTTAACTTTATTTCACAAATTAACGTATATTTATATATTATGTCGCGGCCGAAGTCAGTAAGGAACTGTCTCTTAAGTTTCTTCTTGGGTTACACATACAGAAGTAATACTTAAATTTTAAATTAAAATCATAATGACGGATATTGCATATCCAATGCAATTGATATTTTTATTTTGTTTTGTTTAGTTATTTTTAAATTTTTATATTTTTTAATTTTTTTATATTATATTTAGTTTTTAATTTACTTCGCTTTGTCTATAAAATTTTTGTAATTTTTCAATGACAATAAAGCATACCTCTATATATCTCTCTCTCCCGGTTTACCTGCAGTTCCTCGAAACTAGCCAGCCTTACCCAAGAAACCCTAATTGGGTTCGGCCAACATTAAAAGACATTATAAAGCTTAAATTACTATTTGATTGGTACTTAAATCATAAAAGTTTACACGCACCTATCATTTCGGAAATCCCTAAGTAAGATAATTAGTTTGGATATAACCTACAGGATTATGTTTTCTTGACCGCCAAACATAATAATAATAATAATAATGTTTATTTCAAATTTATGTAACAATGTACAAATTGATACAATAATAATAATTAAATAAATAAACATTTGTATCCTGCTGAGACATTGTTCATGTCTGTGTACAGGAATTAAAAATACAAATTTTTATAATAATTTCTAAATGGTAATAGTGAATGGTAAAAATAAAAATTATACCTAAATATATAGACTTCTTTTTGTGTACAAATTTTCTTCTAATCTTCAACCTCAGATTCGTCACTGCTGCTACCGCTATCATCAAAGTTAATTATGATTGGTTCAATATTGTGTTCAATACGGTTGTCTACGTCCCACATTTTTTGCTCTTCTTTTAAAACATGCTGAATGCATTTCTTCCAGTCTTCTGCAGAAACATTTTGAATGGCTTCTTGTAGGTAACGTTGCACGTCCACTAATTTAAATGTTCTGTTTTTTCGTGCCACATATCCTTTTACTTGCGCCCAGATTAATTCTATTGGGTTTAATTCGCAGTGGTACGGTGGTAACCTTAATACTGTAATTCCACGACTTAACGCCATTTCATCCACTGCGAATTTTTTATATTTGTCTCTGTGTAATTTTGTTAACTGAAGTAGTTCTGCCTTTAAACTATCTTTTTTATATTGGATGTTTTTATTAATTAACCATTCTTGAATTGCTCGTTTTTTTCCATGATTGTTTCGGTAATGATTCTAAATACCGACTATGATATGGGGCATTGTCCATGACGACGACAGACCCAGGTTCCACAAGTTGAATGATGCCTTCAAACCATTTTTCAAACACCTCCGCATTCATCTCTTCATGATAGTCGCCTGTTTTCTTGGATTTAAATATTAATTCACCATTTGGTAAAAATCCACTGTCGCTTCCTATATGCGTAACTATCAGACGACTACCTTTTCCAGATGGCTGTTTTAACCCAGTTGACAAGCCTTCAATAAAGGCTTGTCGTGCACTTGTTATATGACCATCCTGCCGTACTTTTTTGACCGTATGTCCTTGGTTAACCCACGTCTCATCCATGTAGTAATTTTTTTTTTTTTTTGATATTCCGAAATTCCTCAATTTTTCGGAGATAATTTCTTCTCCATACTATTATTTCCTGACGTTCAATGAGAATGCTTTTCCTGTCGACTTTTCCGTACGTAAATTTCATTTCGTGTAAAATTTTCCTCAAAGTTTCTTTACTCATTTGTGGGACCAATTCATGATCCAGAACTTTTTGCAAAGTGGGCAGCTCATTTCTGAAAAAGAAACTGTGAATAGTTGTGCGTATACTGTTTTTGGCTTCTTCATCAACTGTGATTTTTTTTCATCCGCTACTAGTTTTTGGCGTTTGTACTTCCCCACGAATTTTGTTTTCTCTTAGTATTTTGTAAACTGATGATTTTGGTACACCCGTATAATCAGAGCACATATCAACTAATTTATCTTTTGTAATTGTGGAAGTTAATGATGTTGGAACGCCCGGTTGGTTATTCGGAGGTACATCCGTAGAATTACAGCACATATGCACTAAGTTATCTTTTGGTCGCTGATGATCTCTTTCAAGACAGTGAAATACTCGAAGTACAATTTGTTTTTCACTTAGCGACCGAGACTTCGACCGTTTTACCTTTTTCGACGTTGAAGGCCCTTCAATGTCTTCCATTTTTTGCATAGTTTTAGAACGGTGTAGAAATATTATTATTTAATCTTTAAACACTTATTAGCACTAATATTTTCACCAATTGTCCTTACAACACGTCGATTACTTACTAACTTAACTGTAAAACTTACAATTCACACCTTATAATTCAAAACCCGATGTTACGCTCGTGGTTAGAAACACACTACTGAGAACGTCATCGACGAGATGGATTTTACCCGTAACAGACAAAGACACAAATATCGCTCCGTACACCGATGCCATTAGTTGTAACAAATACTGAACAATCCATAAAATAATTAATTTTAAATGATCAAGAAATGTATAAGTATTACTCATTACTGATTTTTGTTATAATTAATATCTTTTATTAGTACTATGATTGTATATTATCTATAATTTGCCACAACTTACAACTCTACTACTTACTCTATTTTGATTCTGCTAAAAACTAGTAAGGTAAAATTGAGATATGACAACACGGTTCACTCTCAATCATTATTTGTTTTATTTTTTAGTTTGCCTAATATTTCAACAGTGTGTGCTCGCAAGAATTCAATAAGTTAATAAAGAAGTAAATTCATTTTCGAGCAAAAAACTTATTTATCGTCAAGGTCGTTATAGTATTTTCAAAAGTTCGATTGATCAAAGAAATGTATTATAAATGGCCTATTTTGCGACTTTTTTACCGGATATGGACATACGCGCTTTTCTAACTTTACTTAAATATGTTTAGTGTGTAGTTACGCGTTTTTCCATTTAACTAAAATTGATAAATAAAAAAATGTAGATACATTTTTCTTTTTAATTTTAATGTTTATAAATTATTATAGACAAATAACTTAGTTACTTTCCAATTTTAGAATGTCATTTCGAACAAAACATATGGCTTTCGTTTATCGGGACATTTGTGGCTGAAGACTGCACATAAGATTTACTAAAAAAGGTAGCAAAGCCATTTAATATATCTGATGGATTAAGAAGAAAGTTACCTTCATAGATCATGGTATTACCAACTTTATTGGAACATTTTTTATTATTGATGTAAGCCCAGAATTTATTGGAAATAATCGATATTTCTGATTCAGCTTTTTTAAGATATTGTTTATAGGCTCTATCGTCATCAACTTTAACTTGACTTCTTATGTGTCTAAACTCCTTAAAATCATGAATATCATTCTCTCTCTTATACTGTCGCTAGTTTGGATTTTTTGCGAATTAAATTTATAATAGTGCCATTATACCAGGGAGGATAATTTTTCTTACTGCAAACTGTATACCTAGGTAAACATTTATCTAACACATTGTATAATTTCTCATTAAAGTATGTACAGGCATCATTAACGTCATAAAAGCTTTCCAAAAAAGTCAAATCAATTTTGGAAATCATGTCATACAACATCGGAAAATTCGCTTTACGAAAGTTATGGCAATTTATGAAACATGACTCTAAATTATTTTTATTATTCAGTTTTTCTACTGATTTTAATGTACTGTGCAAAGCTGGATAATGACAATCTTCCTTTATCAACGGATCTACGGATTTTATTATTTTCATCAAAAACAAAGTTATTCTGTTTTAAATCAAAAACATCCACAAAATTGTTTAATGCATCTATTTTTGCATTCGACTGAGAGTTGGTAAGAAACAAAGCATATGTGTTACACTAATATAGTGGATAACTGCAGTATAAGTAATATTTATAGCTTGTAATAACGCACATTCGT